AATTATTTGAATTTTCTGACTGGATGGGTAAAACCTTTTCTTTGTTTCGCTAAGAGAAATGAACAAAAAGTTAAAATTAGTCCCGTTGAATTAATATTGGACACAATCTGTTTTTTGGGTTTTTAAAAGATGTGGGGGTAAATGTTTTTGGGGGTTTTATTAATGAGAAATTGAAAAGGTAAATATTTTTAAAAATAGTTTTAAAGTGGAAGTTTGAAAGGTGTGTTTGGTTTTTTTAAAAAGGGATTAAAAGGGAAAATGGAAATTAGTTTAATATGTTAAAGAGGTATGTTTGGTTTGGGGGTAGTAAAATTAGGGGGAAATTTTTTTGGGTATTTTGGGGGAAAAAAATTAATATGTGTAAATGTTTTAAAGTGGTATAATTTTGTTTATATATTTTTTTTTCTAGGAAGAGGAAGAAAAATATTTTGAATTTATTTTATGTCGAACCCCAAATCCCCGAGGGGTTCCTGGGGGCAAAATTTTAAAAAAAAAAAAATTTTTTTTTCTTTTGAAATGATAGAGAATTTTTCCATTTTTAAAAAAACCCAAAAAAACGAAATTTTATGGAAATGACGGGAATTAGCTCTCGCGAAGTTAGCGACTTCGGCGTATTAAAAATCGGGGAATTTCGCCCACTTTGAGCCCTATTTTCGGGTAATTCCGTTATTCCCGTCAACCAAAACTCAAAACTATTTCTTTAAAACTCTATTTTTTCTATCGATTGGGGGTACAAGAAACTGCCCCCTTACCGATTTTTAACTACCAATAAAAAGGGCAGAAATTTTCAATTTGGCCAATTTCACGAAAATTAAAAAAAAACGACAATTTCAAAAAAAAGGCCCGAAGAACAATGCAGACATTCCGGTCTAAAAAAAAATTTTTTTGTTCATCAGTCAGTCTCCAGGGCCCTGTGATATTACTCTTGCTTTTTTTTTGAAATTTTAAACAAACAAAAAAAAGAAGATTTACTGTTATGCGAACTGTAAAAATGTAATAATTGTAAAAATTACTCAACCCATTCAGACGCGTTTGAAGGCTATTTGGGCTTTAATTGGGCAATGAATCATTTTTTTACTTTTGAACTCGGCAAAAATCAAAAATTTCCGTACTTTGTGCTCCAATTCAGGTTCTTTTTTTAAATAAAATTAATCAAAATCACCCCATTTCTATAAAATAGTTTCCATTCTATCAATGGAAAAAAGAAAAAGAAATCACCAAAACAAAACTTAAAGAAAATAGACCACAATCGGCATTTTAATTAAAAAAAAAACGGTCGGAGTTTTTTTTTTCTCTTAGCATGCTGCTCCAATTTTTTTTATGGGTGACACTGACCCACGACCCATTCTCTCCATTGGGCCTATAGTTTCTCCGCCTATTGAAGCGCTAGAATTTATGAGTATATAATCAAAAAGGACCCTCGCGAAAATTATTTAAAGGCCGCGACAGCAAAGGGCTAAGGTAAGAGGGGGCGTTTTGAAAATTCTGTGACCCACAGTCACTAGACGATTTTTTTAGTCCCCTTTGGGGTTGATAAACGGTATATTAAAAACAGATTTTTTAATTTTCCCCGATTGTTTTGGTGATGTTCCTAAACGTTGTACTCGGGTGTCATGACTTTTTATGTAAGGGACATCACCCATTAAACAAACACCATATAAATGAGTCCCAAAAAAGCAAAAGCATTTAGAGAAAGTTTATTTTCCGTTATCTCCCGGGCTTATTGAGGCGTAAAAGTCCCTGGCAACCCGTATTTTAGTGCCTAAACCGATGGTTTTCAGGATGTGCACTGATTACAGGAAAAATGAACTCTGTCCCCTTGTTGTTTTTCCTCTACCTCGCATTGACGACCTTTTTGATCGTGTGTCAGGGCCCGTTTGTCGCGCTTAGATCTCTTTCAGGCATATCAATCCCGCTTACTGAACGGCTCAAAAATATCTGCTTTTACTGTTTTAAATGGATTGTTTTTAAATACCTCGTCCCCCCTTCGGCCTATGTAACCCGGGTTCTTCATTTCCCAAAATAAGAAGAGTTTACCCCCAAATAGAAAATAGAAACCTACCTTTTACACCCTTTTGGTTACATGACGATGGGGGAAAAAGCACTTGAGGTCTCAGGCATTGTTTTAAGACTGGCGCACTCAACTTCCTGTTAACTTTGCTAAATGTATTTTGGTCAAGCCAAGATTACTAATTTTGGGTTTTGTATCGGGCCCAAGTGGGGTTCCCTATTGAGGTAAGGGTTATGAATTTCTGAAATTTTCCAGTGCCCCAGGAAAGGAAAAGGGGTACAGAGATTTGGGTATGGCAGGATATTATGCAGGTTCTTCCAAACTTTTCTCAATTGCACTCCCCATGATTACTATCAAAGTTCTTCACCTGGGGCTAAATTGTTCAACCTTTTAAAAGGTTAAGCGCTTGCTATCCCCTGCTCCTGTGTTGAAGGTCCAATTTCAATCTTCCCCCTTTTTACATAAGAGCGGGGTTATGCAAAAGGGGCTGTGCTGCTCCAACAGTCAAAATCCACTGATTTTCCCATCCTAATTTACTATTATCTAACTTAAACGACACCAAAAAAATTTGCCACTATTGAAAAAGAGGCTCTATTTGTGGGGTCCTTGGAAAATTTTGACGTGTATTTGGGCCCTTCCCCCTTTAAAATTAACATTTTTTCTGACCACAATCCCCTACTTATAAATACAAAAAAGAAAAAAGCAGGATATGAGGGGCCCCCAGAATCCAACCCTTATTCTTTAGTAAAAACACATAAAGGGGCATTTGTAATGAATTGCGACGCTCTGTCCCCTTAATAATTATCATTACATTAAATTAAAGTAAATTTTTTGCCAAATTCTTTTTTTACTTGTATTTTAAATTCATAAAGTAACTTAACCCCCCAGCCCAATTAAAATATATACTAAGTTATGTTAATTATTTTATTTAGATTCACAGTATTGTTGTGTGAGGAGGAGACAACTGAGTGTTGAGGGGGTAGGGGGTCGGGTGATGGGGCTGCTTTTACGCAAACTTTTTGTCGCAGACTTCCCCCCCACTACACCCCTTAAAACTGTTTTTATAACCCAAGTTCAACTGCCTCGCATTCCCAACCCTTTTTAAATGGAACGTCCCTTTTTATATACGAGCCCCCAACGTGCCCCCCCCTTTTCACGCTATCCCGTCTCTACCTGATGTAATAACCCCCGGTATGCAGAGATACGACACGTTTCTGCCCCCAGAAAAGGGGCAAACCCAGGACGGGCCTTGAAATTAGCGGGCTTGGGACAAGAGAGACTTATTAAATGTTTATATTAAATTTTTATTATGATAAACAAAAATAATGGAAAAAACCTTAATGCAAATCCCAGTGCGACCGTCGTGTGGGGGGGGGGGGGGTGTTGCAACCCCCGAAGGGTTACAATATTTTATGATATTATAAGAATTACTTTTTCATTTAAATTTTTTTTGCTTATATTTCGATAATACTAAAACTTAAATGTAACTTTATATTATTATTTTTGTTTTTTTCTTATTTGACTTAGTTGTTAGGATGACTAATACAGTGGCCCCCTTAACGATCACCTCCCCTATGGACCAAAATTATGTAATGTATTTATTAAATGCGTTTTGTTGTAGTTTGGGGTCTGAAAAAGGACAATCTACCACAATTTTCCTTATGGGAAAAAATCGGTCAGTACGGCACGAACATCACTGGAATAAAAAAGTTCATTAAATGGGGGTCCACTGTAGGCTCAGTTAAGTCTTATTTTAAAAACTTAATTATGCTTGTCGCCGTTTTCTGCTGGCTTCTGACTTTTCTGTACGGGCTATCACTTATCGAGGGGGGGGTTCCCCACCCCGTTTAAGTTTCATCTGCTCTAGATCCCTTGGGGGTTGGACGATTGTCTGTCTCTTTTCTTGTTTGTTTTAGAACTCTTTCACAGAAATTTTTAGACTTCGTGATTTTGATGTTGTACTGAGGTTGTGTGTCGCTTAGACACCTGAACATCTCAGGTCCCCAGCTTAGCTTCTGACCTAATTTTGTACTGGTTTCTGTGTATTTTCACAGTCGGGTTTTTTTCCCTTTTGAAATTAGATTCATAGTAGGGAGTTTGTAAAAATTTGTGGAGGATCGCTGATGGTCCCACTTATGTCTTAATTATCTCCTTGATCCTATTTTGTCAATGCTTTTTATAGGCTATTGGGCTTTGCATTTTTTTTCATTGTTCAAGCAACTGTTCTGGTTGCCATCGGTCAAGAAGTTTTTTATTAGAGGACTTTGTCAGTCACTTTTTAAGTCTAGTCGGTCTGGGAAAAAGCGAACTATTTAACATTACACACATACACACTTACTTGTACATATTTGTAAATTTTTATAAAAGTTAATGTACCAGACGGACTAAAATTAAAATGTATATTCTTTCACACAAAAAAATTTAACTCAAGAGATTTATTTATTTTGATTTCGTGATTATTTAAAATTTATAATATACCTCTAGACAAATTAAAGATTTAAAAAATTTTATTAAATTTTTTAATTTTTAGTTTTGTAGCCTACCGTTGTAACCGAAACACTATTGAATAATACTGAATTTTAATGGATAATTGGACAAGGATACTGACTAATTGTTACGAAAACCCAGTAACAGGCTGGATGCTAGAAGGGCAGTCCTTTCTAGTATTCACTGGAGATCTCTAAGCTTTTAGAATCGCGTTTTTTGTAACAATATACGACCAAAACAGTCAAAGGGGTAAGTAGCATGTAAGCTTATGATTAGTCACCCAAAATGAACTGCATAATAAGTGGCTTTCTTTTGTGCCTATCATTGTACTAATACTTTGTTGGCAATTCTGCCACCAACATGCACATTTAACTGCCTTCAATTTCACACTCATTACCGCCCAGAATGGCTGCCATCTACTAACTTTTGCAGAATTTTATTTTGTTACTAAAAACAAAACAAGTATGAAGATAATATTTGTTAAAAGAAGCAAGTAACTCACCTGAACCAGAAAGTCAGAATCAGTGCCAGAAAAGCAACAATGGCCAATGGCAAAGTGACTAATACAAGGCTCTCTGAGAAATCTCTTGGTGGTGCAACAGATGGTTTCTGGGGGGAGAGCTGTGGTAAGAGACCCTCATTACATCTGTCATACTCTCTACAGCAAGAGATATTCTTGGGACGATAGTGCTCTATTAAGTATGCCTGGCACTGTAAAAGAAATTATAAAATACAAAGGAAATAAACATTGTAATAGGAAATACAATTACATTAGTTCATGTATCTGGTGTGTGTGAACTGAGAATAATGCAGAATGTAACTTTGTACTGCTAGGATGACATTCTTCACTAAATCAGAGGCCTCTCAAGCAACAAATGCTTGATTATATCTGCACAAGTAGTGAATTGTGACTAGAGATAATTTAAAATGGAATCCAACAAGAATCAGTTTTGGGCACTTTTATTAACACTTCACATGCAAAATATATATTAGGGAACAAATAGCAACACATTTCTTGACAACAAAAATAAGCTAATAAATTCAGAAGAAGATACCAAGGAAGCTCCAGGATGATTTGAAAAGGTTGTTGCGAATGAAGAAGTGTCAGATGCAGTTGAACATTCATACATTCCCTTCTTTGCCTCCATAGATAACGTTTTTTGTCTCCACATATACCTCAACGCACCACTCACCTTTTTTCCCTCATCAATTCTATGATTAACCTTATCCTTCATAAACCCATCCGCCGACACATCAACTCCCAAGTATCTGAAAACATTCACTTCTTCCATACTCCTCCTCCCCAATTTAATATCCAATTTTTCTTCATCTAAATCATTTGATACCCTCATCACCTTACTCTTTTCTATGTTCACTTTCAACTTTCTACCTTTACACACACTCCCAAACTCATCCACTAACCTTTGCAATTTTTCTTTAGAATCTCCCATAAGCACAGAATCATCAGCAAAAAGGAACTGTGTCAATTCTCATTTTCAATTTAAGTCCCCATAATTTAATCCCACCCCTCTCATGAAAACTCTAGCATTTACTTCTTTTACAACCCCATCTATAAATATATTAAACAACCATAGTGACATTACACATCCCTGTCTAAGACCTACTTTTACCGGAGAGGAGTCTCCCTCTCTTCTACACACCCTAACCTGAGCCTCACTATCCTCATAAAAACTCTTTACAGCATTTAGTAACTTACCATCTATTCCATATACTTGCAACATCTGCCACATTGCTTCCTTATCCACTCTATCATATGCCTTTTCTAAATCCATAAATGCAATAAAAACTTTCCAACCTTTATCTAAATACTGTTCACATATATGCTTAAATGTAAACACTTGATCTACACATCCTCTACGCACTCTGAAACCTCCTTGCTCATCCGCAATCCTACATTCTGTTGTACCTCTAATTCTTTCAATTATAACCCTACCGTACACTTTTCCTGGTATACTCAGTAAACTTATCCTCTATAATTTTTTTCAACTCTTTTGTCCCACTTCCCTTTATATAAAGGGACTATTACATGCTCTCTGCCAATCCCTAGGGACCTTCCCCCCCTTTCATACATTTATTAAACAAAAATCCAACCACTCCAACACAATAAACCCCCCCTGCTTTTAACATTTCCGTCAAAATCCTGTCAGTTTTTCCCGCTGCTTTACCCCCTTTTCATTCTACGTAATGCCTCAAGCACCTCCCCCACAAATTTACAACCTGTTCTTCTTCACTCCTAAAAAGATGGTATACCTCCCTGGCCAGTGCATGAAATTAAAAAGCTTTTCTTTCTTCATCAACATTTAAAAGTTCCTCAAAATATTCTTGCCATCTACCCAAAACCTCCATCTCCCCATCTACTAACTCCCCTACTCTGTTTTTAACTGACAAATCCATTCATTCTCTAGCTTTCTTAACTTGTTTAACTCACCCAAAATTTTTTTCTTTTCATTAAAATTCCTTGACAATGCCTTCCCACTCTATCAAACTGGGTCTCCTTTTGCACTCTCTCACCACTCTCTTCACCCTTCTTTTACTTTCCATATACTCCCAACTCTTCTTATAATACTTCTGCTTTTGTAAACCTCTCAAAGCTAACTTTTTCTCTTTTATTCACACCCTTTACTTCATCATTCCACCAACTACTCCTCTTTCCTCCAGCAGCCACCCGCCTATAACCACAAACTTCTGCCCCACATTCTAATACTGCATTTTTAAAACTATTCCAATCCTCTTCAACCCCCCCACTACTCATACTTGCACCCACACACCTTTCTGCCAATAGTTGCTTATATCTCACCCGAACATCTTCCTACCTTAGTTTATACACTTTAACCTCCCTCTTGCTTGTTGTTGCCATTTTCCTCTTTTACCATCTACCTCTTACTCTAACTGTAGCTACAACTAAATAATGACCCGATATATCAGTTGCCCCTCTATGAATGTGTACATCCTGGAGCCTACCCATCAACCTTTTATCCACCAATACATAATCAAACAAACTACTTTCATTACGTGCTATATCATACCTTGCATATTTATTTATCTTCCTCTTCATAAAATATGTATTACTTATTACCAAACCTCCTTCTACACATAGCTCAATTAAAGGTTCCCCATTTTCGTTTACCCCTGGCACCCCAAATTTACCTACTACTCCCTCCACAACATTTTTGCCTACTTTAGCATTGAAATCCCCAACCACCATTACTCTCACACTTGGTTCAAAACTCCCCACGCATTCACTCAACATTTCCCAAAATCTCTCTCTCTCCTCTACACTTTTCTCTTCTCCAGGTGCATACATGCTTACTATAACCCACTTTTCACATCCAACCTTTATTTTACTCAACATAATCCTTGAATTAATACATTTATAGTCCCTCTTTTCCTGCCATAACTTATCCTTCAACATTATTGCTACTCCTTCTTCAGCTCTAAGTCTATTTGAAACCCCTGACCTAATCCCATTTATTCCTCTCCACTGAAACTCTCCCACCCCCTTGAACTTTGTTTCACTTAAAGCCAGGACATCCAGCTTCTTCTCATTCATAACATCCACAATCATTTCTTTATCATTTGCACAACATCCACACACATTCAGACAATTTTCTTCTTCTTATTCTTTTTAGTAATTATTACAGGAAAATGTGTTACTAGCCCATTGTTCCCAGCGCTTTAGTTGACTTTTACAACACGCATGGCCTAAGGAGGAAAGATTCTTATTCCACTTCCCCATGGATATAAAAGGAAAAGTAATAAGACCAAGAACTATTAAGATAAAATCAAAGAAAAACTCAGATGAGTGTGTATAAATAAACATGTACATGTATGTGTAGTGTGACCTAAGTGTAAGTAGAAGTGGCAAGATGTATCTGAAATCTTGCATATGTATGAGACAGACAAAAGACACCAGCAATCCTACCATCATGTAAAACAATTACAGGCTTTCATTTCACACTCACTTGGCAGGACAGTAGTACCCCCCTGGATGGTTGCTGTCTACCAACCTACTACCTATTCCCCTACTACTTATTCCCCTATAATTATTACAATCTCTTTTGTCCCCCTTCTCTTTATATTAAGGAACTACAGTGGACCCCCGCATACCGATTTTAATCCGTGCAAGAGGGCTCATTGGTATGCGAAATAATCGGTATGCGAATGAATTTTCCCCATAAGAAATAATGGAAATCAAATTAATCCGTGCAAGACACCCAAAAGTATGAAAAAAAAAATTTTACCACATGAAATATACATTTTCCTACACACAAAGAGAAGGATACATGCACAATAGTAGAGTAGTACATGCACAGTATATATTGTGCATGTACTAGTCTACTAAATGAAGAATAAATGACACTTACCTTTTTTGAAGAGCAGCAATGACTGATGAACACTGTGGTCCTGGGAAATGCCTTTTTCCCCCTGAGTACTGTAGGGCCTGTTTGGCATTTTCTTCCAGAACAGGCCTTATCACACTGTGTATGTCAAATACAATTCTTAAATCTCTCAAACCAAAACCTTTTCTGGCTTTAAAAACACCAATATGACACTAGTTCCAGGCATTTTTCCCCGTTCAACTGGGTGTTAGTCGACTGGTGTGGGTTGCATCCTGGGAGACAAGATTAAGGACCCCAATGGAAATAAGTTAGACAGTCTTCGATGACACTGACTTTTTTGGGTTATCCTGGGTGGAAAATCCTCTGGGGTTTAAATTGTTTCTTGGTATATTCTCAATAAGCCAAAACCCAAACAACAGTGCTACAGCAGCAGCAGACGATGCTACAGCAGCAGCAGACGATGCTAAAAGCAGCAGCAGCAGCTGACAGTGCTACAGCAGCAGCAGACATGCTACAGCAGCAGCAGACAATGCTACAGCAGCAGCAGACGATGCTACAGCAGCAGCAGCAGCTGCCCAGGAGCAGCAGCAGCAGCTGTAACCACCAATAGTAGCGATGGTTGATTGGGGTTCATTATACAACCTGGCCAGCTCGGAGAAAACGCACTCCACTTCATACTTATCAATGATCTTTTTCTTCATCTCTATAGTAATTCTCACCCTTATTGCTGTAGGGTTGGCACTAGAAGCTTTCTTGGGGCCCATGGTCACTTATTTTCCAGATAAAATCACCAAAAACACTGTAATAATACGAAATGTTACGATTGTATGCTTGGATGCTACCGCGGAGGCTGGCTTGTAAACAATGCCACCGGCGGAACATGTGAGGCTGGCTAAGGCGCACATTGGACGCGTCTTGGACAAACAGCGGTGAGCGGGTTTTTGAGTGGTATGCGAGGCAAAATTTTTGCGATTAAAGCAAGCGGTATGCGGATTAATCATTATGTGATGCCAACGGTATGCGGGGGTCCACTGTATACATGCTCTCTGCCAATCTCTAGGTACCTTCCCCTCTTTCATACAATTCTTCTTCTTTCAACAAACCAGCCGTATCTCACAAAGGCAGGGTGGCCCCAAAAAAAAAATCAAAAGTTTCTCTTTTTAAATTTAGTAATTTATACAGGAGAAGGGGCTACTAGCCCCTTGCTTCCGGCATTTTATACATGCTCTCTGCCAATCTCTAGGTACCTTCCCCTCTTTCATACATTTATTAAACAAAAATACCAACCACTCCAACACAATATCCCCCCCTGCTTTTAACATTTCCATCATGATTCCATCAGTTCCAGCT